ATATATATATATATATATATATATATACATATATATGCAGTGTGCACAATTATTAGGCAAGTTGCATTTTTATTGAAGAACTCGAGCTCTCTGTCAATCCAAAATGTTAAACCTCATACCTGAATATTTAAGAAAGTAAAAGTGAGGACTAAAGACACGCCCCCTTCCTCACCTAAACCCTATTGAGAACTTGTGGGCCCTTAAACGGGAGATTTGAAGGAAAGTCCACCTCTGGACAGTGTCTGGTTAATAGTCAGCAGATCAAGAAAGTGACAGAATCATGAATGAAGGCTTATTGCTGTTATTGAAGAGAAGGGGCGCTATATTGGTCACTGATTGTTTTTTGAAATGTCAACTGTTTATTTGTAAATTTTGAGTTCATCATTCTCACTTTAACAGATGGAAACATTTTAGTTGCATAATAATTGTGCACACAGATATTCTAAGAACCAAACCTTTCTTAAATATTCAGGTTTGAGGTTCATTAACATTTTGGATTGACCGAGAGCTCTGTGGTTCAATAATAAAATGAATCCTCAAAAATAAAACTTGCCTAATTGTGCAAACAGTATAGTATGTCAAAATACGTCATACATTACATTAGTCATTTAGCAGACGCTTTTATCCAAAGAGACTTACAATAAGTGTATTCAACATCGGTATTCAAGAGAACTACTCGTCACCAGAAGTCATAAGTGCATCTCCTTTAAACAAGCATCTAACAGCATAAACCAGAGCAGAAGTACAGAAACAAACTAATATGAATACAGTAAGTGGTGAGTGGAAGGCTCAGGGTAGCACTTCTTGAAGAGGTGAGTCTTCAGCCTGATGAAAGATGGGCAGAGACTCGGCTGTCCTGACGTCAGTGGGGAATTCATTCCACCACTGTGGGGCCAGGACCGGGTCGATCGGCCGCAGGGACCTCTGAGCGACGGGGCAACCGATCGCCCCGAGGCAGCGGAGCGAAGTGGTCGGGCGGGGGTGTAGGGCTTGACCGTGGTGTGGAGATACGAAGGAGCTGTTCCTTCCACTGCCCTGTAGACTAGCACCAGAGTCTTAAACTGGATGCGAGCTCTTACAGGGAGTCAGTGTAGAGAACGGAGAAGGGAAGTTGTGTGGGAGAACTTGGGGCGATTGAACACCAGGCGAGCTGCAGCTTTCTGGAGAAGCTCCAGAGGTCTGATGGCCGACGCCGGGGCTCTGGCAAGTAGTGAGTTGCAGTAGTCCAGGCGGGAGATGACAAGAGCCTGGATGAGCACCTGCGCCGTCTCATCAGTGAGGAAGGGGCGAATCCTCCTGATGTTGTAGAGCAGGAATCTGCAGGAGCGTGTAACCGATGCAATGTTTGCTGAGAACGGCAGTTGGTCATCCAGGGTCACACCCAGGTTCCTCGCAGTCTGAGTTGGCATCACCACGGTATCGTCAATGGTGATGGACAGGTCTCAGTGCGGGCAACCCTTCCCCGGGAGGAACAGTAGCTCGGTTTTGTCCAGGTTGAGCTTCAGCTGGTGTGTCATCATCCACTTTGAGATGTCAGCCAAGAACGCAGCGATGCGTGCCTCCACTTGAGTGTCACCGGGGGAAATGACAAGACCAACTGGGTTTCATCGGAATAACGATGGTAAGAGAAGTCATGCAAGCGAATAACAGAACCCAGAGATGTTGTGTAGAGCGAGAAGAGAAGAGGGCCCAGGACTGAACCTTGTGGAACCCCCGTAGTCAGCATGCATGGTTCCGACACGGCCCCCCTCCATGTCACCTGGTAGGATCGACCTGTCATGTAGGATGCAAACAGGGAGAGTGCAGAGCCTGAGACGTCCATCCCCTCGAGGGTGGAGAGGAGGATCTGGTGGTTCACAGTATCAAACGCTGCAGACAGGTCCAGGAGAATCAGGACAGAGGAGAGAGAGTTAGCTCTTGCTGCGTGAAGCGACTCCGTCACCGCAAGGAGGGCTGTCTCAGTCGAGTGACCCACTTTGAACCCGGACTGCTGGGGGTCCAAGAGGCTGTTCTGGTGGAGATAGGAAGACAGTTGGTTAAAGACAGCGCGTTCAAGTGTTTTGGAAAGAAAGGGTAGAAGAGAAACCGGTCTGAAGTTCTTGACATCAGAGGGGTCAAGTGATGGTTTTTTCAGAAGGGGGGTGACTCTGGCAGTCTTGAAAGCCGTGTGAAAGCATCCTGAAACAAGAGATGTGTTTATGAGGTGGGTGAGGAAAGGAAGGAGTTCAGTCGCAATAGACTGAAGAAGAGGGGAGGGGATCGGGTCAAGGGAGCACGTGGTGGGGCGGTTAGATGTAACAAGGTTGAGGACCTCGTTTGGGGAGAGGGGAGCAAGATAGGGTAAGATGGGGCATGGAGAGGGGAGGGAGAGCTGAGGGGGAAGAGCTGGAGAGGGTAGAGAGTGAGATGATGGACAGGGACCAGGGGGCTGAGAGAAGAAGGACCGTTTACCTTCTTGTCAAAGAAGTTGGCGAAATCGTCAGGGAGGAAGTAGGAGGAGGAGGGGGGGGGGGTTGGAGGAGTGAAGAGAAAGTTTCGAAGAGTTTTTTAAGATTGGAAGCAGAGGTTAGGATTTTAGAGCGGAAGAAAGCAGCTTTAGCAGTAGATAGAGGAAAACGCGGAAGGAAGAGATTGGAAGTTAAGAAGGTCCTCTGGGAGTTTGCCTTTTCTCCATTTTCGCTCAGCCTCTCTTAGGCGCCGTCTATCAGTACGCACTGAGTCCGACAGCCACGGGGCAGGTGGGGTTGGCCGTGCAGGCCTGGAGGTGAAGGTACAGAGGTTGTCCAAAGAGGAAAGGGTGGAGAGGAGAAGATCAGTAGCAGTATCAGGGGATAGGAGAGAGAAGGATTCAGGGTCAGGGAGGGCCGAGGTAACAGAAGAGGAAAGATCAGCCGGGGAGAGGGAGCGGAGATGACTACGGGTAGAAACCATGTGGGTAGGTGGAGGGAGTAAGGGGGGAGAGGAGAGGGAGTAGGACATGAAATAGTGGTCAGAGAGCTGGACGGGAGTGACAGAGAGGTTAGCAGTAGAACAGTGTCTAGTGAAGATAAGATCCAGCTGGTTGCCTTGTGGGTAGGAGGAGAAGAGGAGTGGAAAAGGTCAAAGGAGGAGAGGAAGGAAAGAAGAGGTTCTTACTGAGCAGGATGAGTGCTGAGCCATCGTCGTGGAAGTGCGAGACTAATGTGTCGAGCTCCTCCAGGAACTCACCAAGAGGGCCTGGTCGGCGATACACAACAGCAATGGTGAGGTTGACTGGATAAGTGACAGTCACAGCATGAAATTCGAAAGAGGACGAGGAGAACTGAGGAACAGAGACAAGAGAGTATTTCCATTTTGGGCAGATTAGCAGGCCAGTACCACCACCTCGCCTCGCAGCTCTGGGAGTGTGAGAGACAGAGTACACTTCTGACAGAGCTGCAGGTGTGGTGGTGTTTTCTGGTGTGATCCAGGTCTCAGTTAGAGCAAGAAAGCTGATGGAGAGCAAGGAAGCATAGCCCGAGATGAACTCGGCTTTCGTCACTGCCGACTGGCAATTCCAGAGCCCCCCCGCCACCACTCGCTCGCCATGAGCTGAGAGAGTAGGATAGATGAGGTTAGTGGGGTCACCTGGGAGTGACCCAACGTCTACGTGACCACCGGGCAGAAAGGACAGAAATCAGACACAAACACATCTAAGTACACGCTCGAGAAGTCTTAGCTTGATGAAGTCGGGCTTAAAAAAGTCGCCCTGCAGCCTTCGTTTGCCCGACGCTTCCAACCACCAGCGGTGCTGAAGGACAGCTGCCTACTGATGGCTCATTGTCTGCCAGGAGTGCAGGCTCCTCCCCCAGCTGAGACTACATCACACCTCCTCAGACAAGCAGAAACTCACAATACTCAGAGTATAGTATGTCGAAAAACGTCATAGTATGTCATCAAAAATCATTAAAAAGTTCAATTTACATAAATGGAATTCATGTTCCTGTTAAACAGCTTTTTGATTACAATGAAAATGTTCTAAACACCAACAAATAGAATCAAATTAGCAGATAAAAATGATTTCTTCTATCTTTTTTCAATCAATGTTGACTTTTGAAAGAATCCTTTCTACAGATGGTAGAATATAATAAACTAATGTTAGAATAGCCTGAGCTGACCAATGAACAGACAGGAAACTGTGCAGCGTTCCAACGTTCACGTTAAACTGATTGAGTATCAAGAACAGACTGACCTCCATCCTGTCTGTTAAAACAAGATTAGGAGACTTAGTGATGTCACTCCCTTTAAACCACAGCTGACTCTAATGAAGGAAGATCATGAAGCCAATAACGAGCTGAAGTATAAGTACAAATAAAACAACAGACATTTATTGTGCCAGAATCTACTGTACATATTCAGAGACATTATGTGGTGTACCATGTGGTCCTTAGATACGGAGTTACAGCAGCATGTAGTGAATCATATAAAAGGCTAAATGGAATGCTTTGTTCAGTAATACTGATTTGTACCATACAAGGAGGCGGAATGCAGTCCAGTCTTATCAACATCAACCCAAACAGAGGTCTTATATCACCGCTGTATGAAGAGTACCGAGGTTCAGGTGTGACGTCTACCTGAACAGGAAGCCATTAACTCATTGGTGGAGTCTGTCACTGCGTCTCCGTGTGAATATAAAGAAGCTCCGTCCGTCAAATCAGACGACACGCAGGGTGAAAAGGGGCGGGGTCATGCGGTGCCTTTGGTGGGCAGCTCCGTGCTGTTGTGTCGCGTCTTGCGTGACGTGCCATCGTCTCGCGGCCGAGCCTTCTGCAGGTTGGACATGGCAGCGGTGCGTTCGATGTCGATGAGGGCGTAGAGCTCTGTGCGGCGGGTGGGGGTGATGGGGGGGAGCGGGGAGGTGGGGGGGAGCGGGGAGGTGGGGGTGCGGGGCGTGGGGGGGTTGCTGCCGTCCGAAGCGCCCTTGTTCCCCACGCTGTTGTCCATCTCCACCTCGATGTAGTTCAGGGTTTTGGGCAGCTCCGCGTGGCCCGGCAGCGGCCGACGGAAGTCAAAGTTGAAGATGGTGGGCCCGTCGGTGCGGCGCCGGGCCGTGTCGGGCCGGTGGGCGCTGAGCGGAGCGGTCACGTTCTCCGTGTTGACGTAGTTGTGAGAGGCCTCTTGGCCAGGCGAGAGAGGGTGGGAGTAGGAGTGGTGCAGCAGGCTGTGGGGGGGGTGGTGATGGCTGTAGCCGTTGAGCGACGGCGTCTTCAGATACTCCTCCTCCTCCGAGCTCGGCTTCCTCGTCTCCCACACCGGCGGCAGTGCCGGCAGGTTCTCGTAGTCCAGCAGGGCGGTGCGCCGCTGGGCCGAGTTGTTGACATTCTGCAAGTCGGGGGTGAGGGGGGGCGGGCGGTGGCGGCGAAAAGCCGTGGAGGGATTAGAGGAGGAGGAGCCGTTGGAGAGAGGAGGAGCCGGCTCGGCCTCGATGCTGACCTCCATGTGGCCGTTAGTCTCTCGGGGCTCCTCCACCTCCTGCTGCCTCTTCTCCTTCTCCATCAGCTGCCTCTGAACGGGGGTGGGGCCCAGCACGAAGCGAACCCCCTGAGGCTCCAGCACCACCTGGGGCTCCGGCTCGGGGGGCGGGTCCAACGGCTCCACGCGGACCCTCGGAGGAGGCGGGGGGGTCGGAGGACACAGAGACCGGGGGGAGGTGGGGCTCTCCATCGGGTTAGGGGTGACTGTCAGAGGGCTGGGCTGGTCCTCCAGGAGCCCCGTGGTGTTCACATAGGTGTGGACCTGAACCGGGAAACATTACATCATGACATCATCGTTATAAGATCATGACATCATCATTATTAGATCATCATTCTGCTGCATGGATTTAATGATCAGATCAATGTGAGGAACTGTGTCTCTCACCGCTTCATCAGCCACCAGCAGAGGATGAGTGGACTCTTCTCCCACGGAGGGCAGACGGGTGCTGGCCACAGACGGGTGACGGGTGGAGGGGTGAGACGGGGCTTCACCCACAGATGGGATCCTGGTCACACCATTAGGCACCGTAGGCACCGAGTAACCCAGAGCTGATCACACAAAGACACACACGCAGGTTCAGGTCAGCGCCCGGGTTCAGGTTAGGCTGAGGGGCAACCTGTCAATCAGGGTCCTCAAATATATAAGTACAGGGATGTGTGCGTGTATTACCTGCAGGTGTGTGTGTGTGTGTGTGTGTGTATATTACCTGCAGGTGTGTGTGTGTTTGTGTGTATATTACCTGCAGGTATGTGTGTGTTTGTGTGTATATTACCTGCAGGTGTGTGTGTGTGTATATTACCTGCAGGTGTGTGTGTGTGTATATTACCTGCAGGTGTGTGTGTGTGTGTATATTACCTGCAGGTGTGTGTATTGACTGGTTGGGCTCCAGCACCGCCTCCTCCACCACACTGATGCTGTGACTGTGCATCACCTCCTGCAGCATGTTGAAGATTTCTTCAGCTCGAGAACATTTGAAGGCAAAAATACCTGAAATTTAAAAAAAACAATGTTTTGTTTGTGTTCACATTGTTATAAGATCAGGAGAGAAACAGATACAAATACACACCATGGAGTTCTAGATCTGTCATTAAATGATTACTGATTGATTCGTTCATGCGATAATAGTCTCAAGAAATTATATATTTGAGGGTCACATGCGCAGCCAGTAGCATATATACACACATATATATACACACACTAGTGCTGGGCAAGTTAACGCGTTATTATTGCGTTAACGCATAAATTAATTAACTTGCCCAGCACTAATATATATATATATACATATATACACATATATATACACACACATGTAAAACCCTCTGAGGCCAATTTGGCTTTCGTGATTTTGATTAATACAAATTGCATTGAATTGAATATAATTGTTTGTTCCTTGAAGATTAAATAAAGTTTAGTGACAGTGTCACGTGACGCACCTTGGCCGGTCTGACATCGTCTGCCGCTCTCAAACGAGAACAGATTGGAGTCGTAACCATAGCGACGTAAGCACAGGTATGGCCACCTGACGTCGTCACGGCGATGGGTGTGGAGGACAAGTTCAGCATCAGTCAACTCCATCACACCTGAGCCCAGTTCGTTCCCATCGTCGTCCACGTTTATCACCTGTACAGGCAAACAGCAACAACAACACAGTCAGGTACACCACAACAACAGCATCAACACTGTCAAAGGCAGGTACACCACAACAACATCATCAACACCGTCAAAGGCAGGTACACCACAACAACAACATCAACTCCGTCAGAGGCAGGTACACCACAACAACAGCATCAACACAGTCAGAGGCAGGTACACCACCACAACAGCATCAACACAGTCAGAGGCAGGTACACCACCACAACAACATCAACACAGTCAGAGGCAGGTACACCACCACAACATCAACACAGTCAGAGGCAGGTACACCACAACATCAACACAGTCAGAGGTACACTACAACATGACAGTCAGAGGCAGGTACACCACAACAACAACATCAACACAGTCAGAGGCAGGTACACCACCACAACATCATCAACACAGTCAGAGGCAGGTACACCACCACAACAACATCAACACAGTCAGAGGCAGGTACACCACAACATCAACACAGTCAGAGGCAGGTACACCACAACATCAACACAGTCAGAGGTACACCACAACAAGACACAGTCAGAGGCAGGTACACCACAACAACAAGACACAGTCAGAGGCAGGTACACCACAACAACAAGACACAGTCAGAGGCAGGTACACCACAACAACAAGACACAGTCAGAGGCAGGTACACCACAACAACACAGTCAGAGGCAGGTACACCACAACAACACAGTCAGAGGCAGGTACACCACAACAACGAGACGTGAATGTGAGTAATCGTTAGCAGGTCAATGTGTTTATTAAAGAATTTCTCCCAAACGATTGGCCCAAAACGTTTCGATCAAACTTCGGTAAGCGTGTAAGCCCCGCCCGAAGACGTTTGTAGCAATCGGACTGATCTTTGATATGTTTCCAGACTGTTACTGTTCTGTACTAAACATTGTGAGTCTACGTTACCGAGCGCCCCCTCTGGTAAAGATAGAGTGAAGTTGTGAATGTGTTAATTCAACCTGTTCTTTCAGTGGTGTATTTGAATAGTTATGCAGACTTGGAATTACATAAATTGGAAAGCTGAAACTCTTGTGCAGCTCAGTTGTATTTGTGTGATGAAATAAAGCACTATAAACATGTCTGACGACTCATAATAAAAAAGCCAATTGTTTTTTTAGATGTTTTTGAAGTCCCTGTATAAAATGAGCTGTTGTGACCTCTAGACTAATCACCGCCTCATGAGACTTTACATCCACCAACTAGAGGCTCTTTTGTAGATATATTGACAATGAGGTGGTTTCTAAGCTGTGTCTATTACATACAAGTGCTCGCCGTCCAACAGCCGAAAAATAGGCTACAACAACAGGTCTATGTGGGTCTCTCCGAGTTAATCTGATACAAACTCACCTTGAATTTACTTTGATGATTATCTGGAATTGACTCTTTCTCTGGACAGCTTAAACAGCTACCCATGGCTTCTTCAGAGCACCATCTGATGTCTGGGACACAAAGACGTGATTAAAGAAATGTCCACACTGAGCTTTAGATGAGATGTTTCTCTGGAGGATCCTCACCTAGATCCTGCCTCCAGTAGACCTGGTTCCATCCTCAGAGGGACCCTCATGCTCTGGTTGATCTGGAAACATGAACAGCAGCTCTGTAGAGACATCCGAGGTCACATGACGATGAAGATGATGAGTGAAAGATTAGCCCAATTAAAAAATCAATTAATCATTTAAATCACAAAGAAATCTAGAGTATAGCTGGCTGATTAGTCCACGAGTAGATAACCATAGAGGTAAAACCAGAGAGACCTGTCAATCACTGTGTAGCCCCGCCCTAAAGCATCCCCTGCTTTATGGTCTATTAGAGACCTGTCACTCACTGTGTAGCCCCGCCCCTACAGCATCCCAGGTAAAAGTGTCTGTGTTAAAAGTGTGTGTGTGTCCAGTGTTCCCAGTTAAAAGTGTGTGTGTGTGTCCAGTGTTCCCAGTTAAAAGTGTGTTTGTGTGTCCAGTGTTCCCAGTTAAGTGTGTGTGTGTCCAGTGTTCCCAGTTAAAAGTGTGTGTGTGTCCAGTGTTCCCAGTTAAAAGTGTGTGTGTGTCCAGTGTTCCCAGTTAAAAGTGTGTGTGTGTCCAGTGTTCCCAGTTAAAAGTGTGTGTGTGTGTCCAGTGTTCCCAGTTAAAAGTGTGTGTGTGTCCAGTGTTCCCAGTTAAGTGTGTTAAACCATCGGAATGAACAGACCCAACCAGCAGCTAAAAAGTTAACGTCCACTAACTAACTAACGTAACGTGACGTCACTAGCGAGCTAGTTAGCCTAAAGCTAACCTCTCAGTAAGCTAACACAGATTCCAGCTAACTCCGAGCTCCGAGGCTAACTAAAGCTAGCTCTCTCTACCGGCTGAATAACCCATGATTTAGTGTTAAAGACATTGATACTCACACAGTCTTAGTGGTGGAACACAGCCTCACATCCAGTCCGATGTAACCGAGTTATAACCGACCCCAGCTAGCGTTAGCTCGATGCTACTCCTCCATCTTTCCTCTGCGCTGCTAGAGCGCCAAAAAACAACAATCACAACTTCTTCCAGAGGGTCTAACGCAGATAAACCGATGATAAACTGTTTAGATCCATCGGTGGTTCCTCCGTGGTTCACTAGATCCCGTCCTAACGAACTTTATTATCGATATAAAACGAGTTTTCCTCCGTCGAACAGTGTTTTTCTGCCGCTAGCCTGTTGGTGCTAAATCACTGCTAAACTTAGCTTAAACTTCCGAGAGTTCAGCAGCTTCAATGTGGTGAACACCCGCAGCTGTGCGCATGCGCGAGGGGGCCGTGTGGTTTGGGGAGAGAGCCGAGTGACGTCATCTGGAAATATACATAACTACTCTTTCATTATGCGTCATCATGTGTATCTGAAGTATTCAAGTCCTGTACTTCAGTACATGTACTAATGCCACAGTGTGATGTGTATAAATATAGTTCAAGTAGTTATTACTGCTGCATTAATGTGTATGTTTGATGTTAATTACTTTATATCCTAAAGTACATATAAGTACAGTAGAAAGTACAACATGTACCTCTGACATGTAGTCCAGTTAAAAGTATAATATGTAACTCTGAGGTGTAGTACAGTATAAAGTACAGTTTTACCTCTGAGATGTAGTAGAGTAGAAAGTACAATATGGACCTCTGAGATGTAGTACAGTTAAAAGTACAACATGTACCTCTGAGATGTAGTACAGTTAAAAGTACAATTTGTACCTCTGAGATGTAGTACAGTAAAAAGTATATGTACCTCTGAGATGTAGTACAGTATAAAGTACAATATGTACCTCTGAGATGTAGTGCAGTATAAAGTACAATATGTACCTCTGAGGTGTAGTACAGTATAAAG